CTTGGCGCATCTCTAAATTCATCCTCGATCACTCAACGCGTTCTGGCGTTCTGGAAAGGTGTGAGCAACCTGGGAATCCATCTGGCAGATCTTATGCATATGCAAATGGTCATGAATGATAGTTTCCACAGACCCTGTACTAATCTTGACCTCTTATGTTATTTGACGAACAGTAATGCGTCGATCTTCCAAAATGGCTGCCTCAACTTGACGGACAGATGCCTCATCAATGGCAGAAGAGCGACGACCAGGTCTAGGAGCTGTTTCCACAGACTTCCGGCCATGTTTGAATTCACGATGCCAGCATTTTACAAGGTCATAAGTTTCTTTCATTTCATCAAAAGTCTCCTTTGGAGTGCGTCCTTTCAAATACAGAAACTGGATCACTATGCGACACTAAACTGGCTCTATTTCACACCTGACTTAGTTCAAACACCTGTAAATCAGAAACCACAACTAGTTCAGAGCTGTTTTTGCAACATAACCTATAAAGATGTAAATCATTACACATGCAAAATTTCATCTAGATAATACAACTGGAAGTGGGTCAGGGGCATTACTTATAGAACGCCCCTCGTATATTTTTTCTGTCTGTTTTCAAAAACAATTTTCAAATTGATTTATCATGTTTCATTGACAACAAGTAACATATCTTCGGAATATATCCTGATTAAAAAGTGCAAACATTTGCAGGAATAATTTGAAATTCAAAATTACAGGAAACACAACTGAATCCGATTCCTGCAGTTCAGAAAATGTACTGCTTAGAAGACCCGCAGTTTAATGCATGTTTAAACCGTAATTAGTTCAGCTGGAAACGAATGATATGGGTGCTACGTTAAGACCAAGACAGAACACTGGTTCATATACCCCATTTTTTTGAAAAAAAAAATAATTTACAAAAATTTAGTTTTTCCTAGAAAATTATATACCTCTAACAATCAAATGAACTCGATAAATTCAAATCACCAATTCATTCCAAAGTATAAATGAACAATAGTGTACATTTACATTTTTTACCATAAATGCGTTTACAACAAAGGAGTGCATCGGTGCCGTTTTTCTACCAGGTCTACAAGGCTCTTGAAGATTATTATGGCTGGCCCTAGTAAACACAAGAAAAATAATTTCTCCTTTGTTCATCACTACGATACATCATTTTGTAAATGAGTTTTGTTTCGTTAATTTTGTACGTTTTTATTACGCATATAATGAACAAAACACATGACTCTAGTAATTGCATTTCTGATGTAAACACTCTCTTCTCAACTATTCACCGATGTTGACACGGGCAGTAACTCTTTTGAAAACTATTTTCTCCTGTACGTGATATCATTAGGCTTGCATATGTTCAGTGTTGACTATACGTTTTATTTTAAAGGGCGGTGGTCGTCGAGCAGCTCGTGTTGGAATTTCATGTAAATAAACAATGTATTTTACACGCGTTGTATACGTCGCTATGAGTCCCATATCGAACAGGACGCGGGACAACAATTATCGCCCTTTGAATACATTTGTGGTCAACGTTCCAAATCGATATATATATTTGTTGAATGAAACATAACCACTGATTTGATTGTTTTATACAACTTCCGAATACAGATCTACGGGTGGGTATGTTATTTCTACTTCCGTGATGCCGCCCCATAGCGAAGTAGGTCGTGTGTATTGTTATCTGTAGCTCTGTGACTAATTTGTAAAAGAATATTGCGCTGTATGATAAATTTAAAAACACCACGTGTCGTCAGTGAATACTTACGCACTTGAACTGTTCATCGAGTATGTTTGATAATGCTAATCAAGATCTATTCATGATGTTGCCTTTCACCTAAAAATATTCTTTGAAGCAAAAAATACCCATGCGCTGTTATATTCAATAATGAAATAGGGGAAGATGTGACATTGCTGTGCCCATGTGGTGACAGTGTACAAAGTAATGCAAACAATAAATGAGTGAGTGGGTGAGTGAATGACCTTTAGTAAACGAGCTTGAAGAGATTTGGTAAAATTTTAATCAAGTCATATAATAATAATGCAGGTTTTAGAAATGTGTCTTTTAGATAATGTAATTGTGTAGTGAAATATGACTAGACTACTGTAAAACTATTACAACGTAAGTAAATTAATTAATTTGTTATTTAATTAGCCTTTTACTTTCTCATCGAGTTTTTACTCCTTGGCAACATATTAGTTATTTAATAAATATATAATTAATAATTGCGTTTGCGCATAGCTCCTTAGCACGGTGAAAAACGTTAGCCCGTGCTGAAAAAACGTGCGCGACTTCTTAGCAGGGACTAAGAAACTCTAGATACGGGCTAGATCAGATCCGTTTTTAAGACCCGGTCCAGATCATTAGCACGGGGTAACAAAGTGTGCGCGAACGCTCAGCTAGGGCTAAGCACCCAAAACGCCATTGTATGTTCATTTGAAAAAAAATCCTTTTATATTCAGAACTATTCATTTCGGTATGCCACTTGGAACATGACAACCAACGTGAACACATTTTGGGATATTGTTTTCGAGAACAATAAATTGAAAACGAGATTCGATCCTGCGATCTCCACTTTCCGAATTTGGTTTTGTATTGCTTTATATACTTTTTTGTGAACTATCATGTATACCTTCCTGGTTACTGTACTGAGTAATCATAATTAAGGACTGAATATTTGTATATTCTTACCTAGTTTTGGTGTTCCTGCTAAGTGCCGTTTTCTCCTGTAAGTGAACTAAATTGGGTCGAGCCCTTACTTGATGTAGCCTAAAAAGGACTATCCCCCAATTTATCACAAGACACGAAGTCATACATTTGTCACATTATCGTTTTGTTTTACGATCACACTAACTTAAATTGTGGATAGTTGTGGTCCTAATTGCATCCACGAAGGCATTGTCTGGTGCAGCCTGCTAGCTGTTTTAACCATTAATTAATTAATTAATTAATTAATTAATTGAAGAGTATTATCAAATGTAACTCCAAGGTTGCGTACAGCCGTGACTGGCCCAATAACTGTAAAATTAACATGGATACTGCTGACAGGGCTAGGAGTATGGTCAGATTTATATCGAATGAGCAAAACTTCAGTTTTTCCATCGTTGTAGCTTGTTGAGTGTTATCCACTTCTTGATGTCATGTAGACAATTTTCTATTTGTGTAACTGCATTTGAAGTGTTGACTCTGGTGAATGCTATATACAGTTGATTGTCATTGGCATATTGGTGAAATTAAAGATTATGTTGACAAACAATTTGACCGAGTGGAGCTATGTATAGTGAGAATAACGCTCACATTCTAACATAGTTACGATACAGCACGCTCTGTCCAGAAAATGTTAACGTGTTCAGACACAATTTAAAGACTCACAAATTTAAGACATAAAATAGATATATACGTATCATCTGCAAATTGCTTTGATATGCTGAATATAACCATGGCAACCCTACAAACATATTGTAGTTAAACAAGAGCAGCATACAGATTTACGAACTGTACACAATTGAACACAATATAAATAACTAAGATTCAGGGTTTAATAACTTGTCCATATCAAACCGTAGTATGTGTTTATTCCACTTCTTTGGCAGCGATAGAGTAAATTATTTATTATTTATTTTTATTATATAAATATCATAAAATTATCATCTCCGTATTTCTGAATAATCAATGGTTTTTACTTTAATGGTGACCATACCACGAATTAAAAGCAAGTCTTAGCTAATAACGTAAAGCCACGTGTCCTCATTATTATACATATAATATGGATGTCCGTCAGCGAGATAATTTATGTAAGTATTATAAGTATGTAATATATGTATAGGATTGTGACGATGGAAATTTCAGAATAGTAAACAATTATTAACTGCAATGGATAGGAGGTATATGAAGATTTGCTTCTCCTCCATGTGGCCAATTCTTCATCGAGGCCCATATACACAAAATATTATTGTTAATAATTGTTTTATCATTTGAATTCGGGAGCTTACTTGTCCCTGGTCTCAGCAGCATACACCAAAGCGATAAGTTTCAAACGGACTTCGACCGTTATTAATTCATCAAAGAAAAAAGAGAGAAAGTTGCATAATTCCTGCGAAGGACAGCAATACGGAAGAGAATTATGCGTTGCTATGCGACGGAAGCTGAACTTTGAATATTGTACTGAAGGTCGTAGGCTTGAATCCCGACTTGGATTTTTTCACATAGTATTGATTTGATGTTAATGATTGATGTTTGTTTCATTCCTTCTCCTCTAATTCAGATACTCACTCTATCTGCATCCATTCTCTGGATCCATCTTTGCTTAATAATTTTGTTTGAGTATAGTATTAGTAACATTGAACATTAGCCATGCTGTGTGAGACATACTTATTATAATTGCGTATTGTTTCAAGACCATGTATCATGATTACTTCGTTCTTTACTCGTATCCATACTTTATTGGAATGTGTAAACCTGCCAGGCATATTCTAATTCGATCTAAGCGTATATTTACTTTAGTTTTGAAAATCCTTTGTTTAGATTATGGATTAATTACTCACTAGATTTTTCAAGTAGGCTTTTCATACTAATTCATTAATATTCCTCGGACTAATAGTATACTTTTAGGTTACACTTCATCAGCATCATTTGCTTCTTTGTTGCGATTGAAATAAAGCGACTTTACGTTTGTAGATTTGTGTGTTCGTAGCTTTATTTTTATAAAAAAAAAACTTCCACCGCTTTGACCCAAGGGTAAAGTAAAATAAATCAGAGCGATTCTGCAACAAATAAAAGCAGATAATAAAAACGTAAAACATTATTGTAAAACGCATTTCGATATTTGTTTCCCAGTTTTTCATTTTCCATATATTAAATATTCATTTCATATTATAACATATTGCTTAATATATTTGAATAAAAATAACCTAATACATGTTTTATATAAGATAAATAACATAGCATAATTTCAACATAATATATAATGACTCTCAGATAAATAGCATACTGTTATTGCAGACATTATCTATTATTCGGCTAATGATGTAATTGATTAATATCAATCGTGAAATGTACACAGGAGAGACTTCAAAACTACATTAATAATTTAAATATACATATTCTTTGATAAGAAACTAGATGAAATGTTATTTCGGAATAAAAACCGTGTACGCTACTTGAAATCATGTTCCACTAAACCTGCGGCTTTTGTCATGTCAGGCATCGTGAACGATTTATCGGTACGTCCTCTCAACCAATATGCCATAATGGGTTGTTTTCCCTGTAAAGACAAGTAGGAATAACTGAAAATTAAAACCAGACAACGTAAAAATGTTGTGAATAGTTTCAGATCGCTATTACGTAATGTTCCATGTCAGCTTGAGGAGGTCCGCGCAATATTTTGCCGTATGATCGAAACCCGCGTCTAATCAGAATAGGCCTGGAAGGGACTGGGATAGAATTACTGTGCATGTTATTAATTTCCTTTATTACTTTTTAGTTATATTATTTCATGGGATGCTGCTTGTATTTCTGTCAGATTTGTTTTACTTAGATGCTATAAACGGCAAGCGTATTTGTTATCAAACTTTGGGGATAATTTGCACATTTGGCGGAGGATAATGCGATATAGTTTTCTGTAAATTCCGTGAATTTTTTCTCTGTGAAGATTATTTCTCCTCAAAATCAATTCCGACCTTCCAGTTAACAATCTCTCACCCACATGTTTTTTGATGTTGGAAAAAGTTGGAAATAAAACTGGAAAAAAACAATTGTAAAAAATGTAAACAAAAGCCTTTCTACCTTGACGGTTATTTCTCCCCGCTCATCTAAAACAAAGTTTCCCATCTGACGCAATAATGACGCTGTAGTACTGCTAATATTGATCCGAAGTGCTAGAAGAAATTTTAAAACTATGATGAATAAATTGATGTCTATGTGACATATAATTTTATCAAGTGTGTTGCATTGTTTTCCTTTAATAGATCTACGTACCCAGTCCACTGGATTCCATTCGCGATGCTGTATTCACGGTATCTCCAAACAGACAATATCTCGGCATTTTCAGCCCAACAACTCCGGCAACAACAGGTCCTACATCGATAAAACACATATATTGAGAATGTTGGATTTAAACGTTTTTCAACATTATTCTAATAATGAAAAGTATAAGTTCATACGCGATTCGTAATCTTGTTTTACTTAAACACGTAATATATGAAGTACAAACACACTCAGTCTGAATCAAACTTGTATAGCCACTCAAGAAGAATATGTGTGCACGAACCAGTAATCGAACCCACAAAATGTGACACATTTAGGAAATCCGTACGAACTAATTTGCGATGCAATTAATATCTATAGCCAAACACACGTAAACTTTGCACGGGAGTATTACAAATGCCAACAAGTGGATGGCAAATACATTATCTAATCAATCATTTTGTTGAAACTAAGAATTACAATCCTTTATGTAGCTTTTATTTGGCATTATAAATGAATATTATTTACAGAAAACATCATTACCTGTGTGAATACCAATGCGCAGCTGTAGTTGTTTTCCAGGAATGTGTCTGATTTTGAAAGTAACCAACGAGCTAAGTAACTCTAAAGCCATTGTAGCAATCTCCCCCGCGTGAAGATGGCCATTCTTTTCAGGTAGACCCGATGCGCACATATACGCATCGCCTATTGTCTCAACCTGCAAAGTTGATATATATTCAAACAATATCTTCTCCAGTGTATATTGTCGTTACGGCTGCGCAGTCAAAGTGACCATAAAGAAAGTTCATCTTGTATATAGATGAGTACATTAACATTAAATATATATATCTTATGAGGGGTAAGTTGGGTGACATTACTTTCTACTATACAGGTGCACAAAGATATATCATATGAGGGAGTTACAATAAACCTGCTCTCAATTATCGCAACTACCAATTGTGCAATTCAGAATGCCATCACAAATTACATTAAATACTGATTACATTGGGAAACATATCTGATATCTATGATAATAAAGTTTACGTGGCACCACATTTATTAGGATGGGAAATATGCTGTTACTTTTTTTCTTTGAGACTGATAACAAAACATGATATCATACCTTGTAAACATCGTAATTGTCGATGATGTCATCAAAAGTACTGTAAAGGTCATTCAAAAGATCTATAACCTGCAAAAGAATGATGCATGACGTCATCAACACGATTATATTATGTAGAGCAGTGAGATAAATATCCGTATAATAACTGTAGTCTGGATAAATTTCTACAATATATGTTCTTAAAAGATAGCGGTCGTCGGACCGCATCATGTTCGGTACAAAATACATTGTTGACATGGATTGCAAACACGTGCTGCGAGACGACCACCAACCTTTAGATTAAACTATGACTTATATACTTACTTGCATAGGGGTGCTTTCTGCCGATAGTTTTGTGAAACCTACAATATCGCTGAAATAAACGGTCACTTCGTCATACGACTCTGCAGTAACGGCCTCGCCAGATTTCAGCTGTTCGGCAACAGATCTAGAAACATTATATAATACCACTATTTTCGATTGATATGAGGTTATTACGAGATTACCTCAAAGTAAGCCCGAAGACAGTACAGCTGGAGTGCGCAGAGATCGATGGGCGGCGTACTGTCTGAGTGCATACTTTGAGGTATTCTCGTAATAATCTTATTATTATACATCTTGTCCTTTCAAGGATACATCATGGGAATGCCGAAATCCAAAAAGTTTAGAAAAGAATTAATGAACTTTCTTGTGTGGAGTCCGGTCAATCCCTGATTTACTCATATGGTAGGACGAAAATTCCCTGTAAAATACCGTAAAATTACGGCACGCCGTAACGTATGGCGTTACGGTGGCGGATGTATAATTATAACCAATATTATGCGATTTCATATATTGTTTATTGTAAATTTTGCAGAATACGGTCATTTCATTGCATACATTATCCCAGAGTACCTCATGTGAAATGACTTGTTTTCATGTATACCGATTTAACTAGGCTGTGTATTGTACTTGTCAGTTTTTATGTTCTTGTTGATTGTTGCCGGTAGTTTAATTTTGTTTTGTTCTTAAATTTGTTCATTTCCCTATGCGACTTCTGTTAACAGATATTTCGTTGGCTATGTACAGAATATTTATGTTACGGTCACTGTTCTCAGTCGTATAAATTTACCTAATGTACTATTATTGAAATTTTGATTGGACATTCTGTCCACTTCAGCTTTTGTGTTATGTACGTTATACAATTTCCGGGTTTTTAAATTTATCCAATTACGATTAACCTGAAAATACACAGATAACGTTACCTAGGCAACATGCGATTAAGTAATTCATCCATTCTCTTTTTTTCTTCATAAAGTTGACTCGTTCTTTCTTCAACTACTTCTTCCAGTTGTTCTGTGTATTTTGCCATCATAGCTATCATATTATCCACAATGTTAATAGTCCTACAAGTTTATTAAAATCAGTTTATTACAATTGCAGAATTTTAACACTACTCGAAAAATGGTACAATAAAAGACTTTCCATAATTGCAGTATTGTCAAGCAAGAAGATATATCAATACTCTGCTAATGGTTTTCCAAAATTACCGGATATGAAAAAAGTCAGAAATATAAGTTACTGTTAACAAAACAGCGAGTTTTATATAAAAAAAATCAGAAAGTCATTGCACCTTCGATAATAAGAATTACCAAACAAATTTACAAAGAATAAAAAACATATTTATTGATCAATATTAAAGTAATCAATATTAATGCTAAATTTCAATCCGTACATGAAATGTAGAGATGCAATAAAACTGTAAACACGAAAACACACTTTGGCAGTATTTATATTGTAATTTGAAACAGCTTTTAAAGAAGTTCGATCCGAATTAATTTTCTAAAAATTGTGCAATGCAATATAGTAGAAATAAAATAATAAAATAATAATAGAATGAAAAGGTGAAATATAATTTTCAATACAGAGCCCCAGTACGTCTAATATCAAGAAACACAATGTGGTTTGGGAAATTGCCATTTGATTACACTATCAATTCATTACTGACATGTTCATTAAATTTGATGCATATGATTTTATTATTAATTATAATATTATTACCTCCCACCACTCATTTTATTCAAAGCTCGTCTAATGTTATCACAGTTAGGTCTTGCTGCAGGAGATTCCGCCCAACATGTTTTCATAAGTGCGTGCATTGCTGGCTTACACATGCTTGTAGGCATAAGAGGACGGAACACAGGATCTTTGCCTGCTTTAACGGCTTCTATAATATCTGTTGGTTAGGAAATACGTGTTATGGCATTTTGTAAAATAAAATTAGATTGCTATATTTTGTAGGGAAGCACAATTGGTATTTACATGAGATAATGATGAATCGTCTAATATGTGAACTGGCGATTTGCAGGTTTCAAGTGCGTCAGTAAAGCAGCACGCTCGTTCGAAGTTTATGTATGGTGCGTGAGCATCGCCAACGAATCAAGTTTACCTGCTGATTTGTACGAAGCGACATTTCAGGAGTTCTCGCTACAACAAGTCAAACGTTCACCTGCAAACATTTGGTGGCATATGAAACGCATACTCAGAGGATTATTTGAGTTGTTTTATGACACGGAACTACGAACAAGGACAGCACAAATGCGGATAATCATTGCGTATTGGGACAAAAATACCACGTGACACTGAAACCCGCAAATGGGCTATTAGAAAAGCTCATTTTGATCTCTGATGAATTTAAAATTTGCATAAAGAGTTCATATTGAACCAAATTGTTATTATCCTAATTAACTTTATAATTAAAATATTGCAAGTGATGACAATGAAAGTATGACTGAAATATTGCTAAATACGTCACAACATTGGTAACCAAAATAAGGAATGTATCAATATACTTAATGTTAACATATGTTTTAGTTAATAAAAATGCATTAAAATGCACTTGATATTAGGCTCAATTGGTGAAAAATGTGTATTAATGATGGTGAAAAATGTGTATTAATGATCACTTTTTCTTTTTTATTTATTTCGCTGAAGATACATTTGTAATTTCATCAATATTGCGTTAATTGAATGACATGCACTTAACTCATTTTTAATTTAATGTTAACATTGTATTACTAACCTCTTGGTTCGTTGAAAGTGTGCATAGAAAATGGTCCCCCTCTAGTAGCAATTTCGCTCAATATAATACCGAACGAATACACATCGCCTTCCGGTGTGCCATAGTATCCTGGTGACGTGAATCGCAAATGCTCCGGAGCTGTCCAAAGTAGGCCTGATAAATTGAATTTCATATAATTGCAGTTATACTCATTCCCGTTAATCATTCACAATGTAAACACAGGGATGCAAAAACAAATACAAATCACTTTATTTTATTTGTATGTCTCGTATGAGTTATCGCCTTTTTTTATTTTCATTTTCATCAAAAATCATGACATTTGTAGAATTTGAATTCACACACAGCAAGCTATCGCGAAGCTCGTGCAATATGCCATTAGTGAAATCAATGCAATCGGACGGTTGTTCGTTATAACGATTTTTTTTTACTCACGACTGTATTTCGCATATTCTCCTTCCTCTTCCTCAGCCTCCTCTCCGTCCTTGAATTCCCCCATTCCATAATCAGTTAACTTGCAAACCCAGCGACTGTCAATCACGCAGTTAGACGACTTTAACCTTCCGTGTGACTTTAGTGTACTTCTGTGCAAGTATTGCATGCCCTGCGATGGAACAGCAGCACATTAATTAATGTGACATATCGGCAGATATTGATCGTCGTCAAAAATCACTTCCTATTGTCACAGTGAGTCGTTACATAATTCCACGTTATCGACATTAAGTCTGATAATTGAAATGTCCCGAAGAACTGTATCGACATTATATAGCAGCTTTTAAGCACAGGACAAATTTCGAGTAGGAAAAATCGTAAGATATTCCATTCTCTAACAAATTGTTTAAACTTAAAGCATGTTTTTATGTTATTGGATCGAAGGCAACCCATCGAATACATAATACAGTAAACTAGTGTCAACTGTTCGTCGTTCATCTTTCTTCCCACGTAACTCTTTTGACGTGTAGCAAATATCCTGGTACGATTTGTTAAAAAAAAATGATAAAAACTGAATATTTAATTTAGCTTATCTTGATGACCGCTGTGAGTTCATACACTCAACGTCCATTCAAGGAACACACTATGCGCGCCATGTGTGACATTGTATTAACAATTATTATAGTTTGCGCGAGATTCAATTCGAATATATTTAAAGAGAATGATATATACACTATTTGCAACGGTTACGATGCGTGTCATACGTATATTAAATGAACGCACATTGTACCAATGTCGTATTGCATTTTTGCAGTATTATTTTATTTTGTAACACGGTTACTCCATTGAATATTCATCGGTCCAGCTGATCTTGTAATTTCACTTTGTTTCCCGAATGTTCAAACATACGACGAGGTCATGGGTAAAGGGCATGAACGCAAATTAACGATTAACGCTTGCTTATATTATTGGTCGCCTGTAATAGAAGGACACGACGATCAGTGCAAGATCGCGCTACAGCATAATACAATCTAGGCGTATACTACTACGGCTTATTTGTGGTAATCGACCGATGCCCGAAAGAGGCTAAGATGTCACAACAGTGGGAATGCCTTATGTGTCGACATTAATACGCGCGATCATATTCATACAAAAGGGGCGCATTTAACGAATAAATATGTAATATTTTGCTGATTTGCTTTTGTTATTTTTGAATATCACTCGAAATAGTAAGGTTAACTGTAAGTGTGCCAGGATGACAGAATGCATGAATTGAAATCACATTGTTTTCACACAGATACTTTAATACTTTGATGTAAAATTCGTTTTGTTCAAATATGTAACTTACCCTGCATATGTCGGTTGCTATAGAGATCTTGAACGTTTCGTCCAGTTGTATATTTTCACTCTCCAAAACATCCTGGAAAAGGTGAACATTAAACTTACTATTGTATCCCGAAATCGCGTTCACTTTTCCAAATATCATCGTTGGATAGATCAGAGAAACAGAGAATACGATGACGGATGAAACCCTATTTGAAGGGCAAAAACAAAATCGTGGATCTTTCGTTGTCCGCGAGATTTCTGAAGCCATTTGTGTATAATATATACGAATATTAAATTACAGAACACGGTTTAAGTTATGATTAAGTTATGAATATCTTCCAATAGTATGTGTAATGGTGTTTGTGGATTTGGAAAGTTCTTTTGTCATTTCCAACATGTACCTAGTATCCCTTACCTGTAAACTTCCCTTTCTGCAGTATTGCATGAGTATGCTGCAGTTACCTGGATCAACGCATGCACCAATAAAAGGATTTATATTGTCATGAACCAAGTCTCGCATCTGCGTAAAGGAATCATATCTCTGTCAAAATATATGTCTCATTATAGAGGTTGTCTAAATTATTGGCCTAGTTACTTCGAACAACACCCCAACCTCTGATTAGCAATGTACGTATACATATAATGGCGGTCTTGTTAAATGTATTTACAGTGCAAAAAGTTGTTTAATCAAAAGCGATTTGTAATTGCATATCAGTTTGCTAATATCAGTTTAAGACTTGATTTAGCTCTCGTTTACTCTATACTTTATTTTATATATGTTTATCAATTTTTCTTATGTATTGTGTGATGAACGCAATTGTTATTTGACCAAGAACAAAATATGCATGTTTAACAAAGCAACTACTCAAAAATTAAAATACAACGATGCTTAGGTACATATTGAATAATCAGTTTTTAGCTTGTTAATGTGAGCGTGTTCAGCCAGCGTGCGACACAACCAAAGATGTTATTACTAGTTCAATGCATTGCGATCATATATTAATGTAGTAATTGTACTGTGCGTGTTTGAGCTGTCGCACAATAAACCTGTAATCATCTCATAATTTGTCATGTATGTATTCAACCTATTCATTTTAATCAATTGCCAAGTGAATCTAGTCTAACCATTTTTATACTCACACTTTTCAGTTCCAATAACAATGATGATGTAATCTCAACACATTTTTTATTTATTCGCTTAACTGCTACCATCTGACCCTAAATCAAGAACATATTACGACAAAGATCAGTGTATGGAATTGCTTTTGAATAAACAATTATTTTTGTATTCGAACCTGTTACAGAAATGTTGGTGATGTTATGTATATGAAATGCAATGTACAGTTTTTACCTAAAAATAGCAGACGACAACCGCAGAGAATGTGACAGAGGATCGTGTTTGTTGCATCGAAATTATATATATGACAACAATAACAACTGTATTTAGTTGTGTTATCGTTCGTTGCCCTTGAATATAGTAACGTCTTTCAGAATATAGACTTCATTAATGGATGACTACAGACCATCACGATATCGACGCTTTGAATGACCTTCATATCACCCATTCACGTCATTGACTTAAAGAAAATGTGTATTGTTAGTGGTTATTGAAAAGATGTTACCTTATACATTCCTGTTAGAGTAAACACCTGCGTTGCGCTTTCACTGGTGTTGTCTTGTTTCGACATGCTCGACCTAGACATTGTCAAAACAGAGTTCAATAACTGAAAAACAAAGTATTTTCCCAAGTTAAAACACGGATTATTAGCTGAGGTAATAAGGCGACAGTGAATTAATAGTATATTTAACCTTTTCACCACCAGTTCCCTCTTTTCATCACAAATTCACAAAATTGGCCTGTTTAAACTTTCCTTCAGAGGTTTGGGACAAAAATAGCCAAATTTGTTGAGTAAAAACTAAAAATTGACTGAAATTGTGTTTATTTCCAGAAATATTGAAGAATGTAAGACAAATTATTTTGTACTACGTGCTCTAGATAGCGGATGATCTGGTAAATAATCACGGCAATATCCTTTGACACCAGGAGTACCAAGTGATGACCGTAACTATTTGCGCAATAGGCACCATTTATGTACATCAGAGTTACTGTGTCTTTGATTGATGTTTAAAAGAAATGGGAAACAGCGGTTCGCTCTGACGTATTTTTAAAAAAGTGGTGTTATAATGACAAATAACGTGAATATTTCAAAAGAATTTCTTTGCACTAGCTCTGATTCTAACATATGTACAATTTTTGGTGTGTAAACGATGTTATATTAAGATTTAATTAAATGATTTTTTTTCATGAATTCGTGAAAAAACTAAGGGTATTCGTGAAATAGTCTTACACTGCATGTAGTATGTTGCAAGAATCTGTGTAGAACTTGAAAGCCTGATAAAACATAAAATGAAGTGTAGAGAAATCAATATTTTATCTTGTGCCTTTTTACTACTTCCAAACTGTGTAGAACGTAAATAGGTTATACTTTTGTAGGTCAACCCACTCGAAAAAAATACATTCAAGACAGTTCGTGACACTAAATATGCGTTTAATGGCTGGAATCTAATATTTTTAAAACTCAGCTTTCTAATTTGCATAGTTAATGAATACAGTTATTGAAAATTATTGTATTCTGTCACATCAGTTAGCAGTAGATGTAAAACAATATAATGTTACCATCGATAAAGATACAGGAAAGACGTCATATTATATATATTATATTACTACTGATCGTTTTTCGTCACTGTCGGTTCTGGCTCTGGTTATTAAACATGTTATCGACGGATTATAAGAGAAAATATTGTGAATATATTGACTTGTATATTCGATTCACTCTAACATCACATTTTTGCAGGCGGTTTTCGATAATCAGCAGAAATATTATCGAATATAATATTGTTTTTTGAAATAAAGCCAATATTACGAGTTTGTATACTTATCAGCAGTTGTTGCTATCCAGTCTGAAATTATTGCATTGTTAAACCATTTGGTTATCTCTGCTCAAACACGCATAAATTTATAATTTTCACAGTTGTATTTCAGGGAACATTGTGTCTGAAAATTTTACAATATGTGTACTTCTGTAATTAATACTACATATGTGATATTCAAATGCTTTTCGCATAGACAGATCTAGGACTAAGAGTTGTCCAGACAGCAATTAAACATGGCGTTTGAACCAACTCTATAAATAGCAAGGATAATTTTACCAATTGCAATCACAATATCGATGTATAAATAATTTAAAACTAAATGCTGACAAAACCGAAGTTATATTAATCGAAAATCTACTGCAAATATTTTTTGGTATATACATTTCCGTGAATTGTTGTAATTTTTGACAACAAGATACAATAAACAGTATGTGGATTTTAACTTACTCGTCTACTTCCACTAGCTCCACCGCTAATGGAAAATATAATATCACCATAATCCACTTTCCAGAGGGCGAACGTTGCTAACTCTGCAGCGAGTTTTGATTTCCTAAAATTAAAAATTATTACCAAAATGCTGTAAAAATAGCATGTAGGTTTCACCATTCCTATGGGCTGGTTAAATGTCGGCCAAACAGAAATGAAATGTCGCTTACTGGTCACTCTTGCATCTACATGTAAATGCCAACAGCGACGAGCAACGCTGTTATCTTATCTTGGGATATCAACTAGCCGGTGCTCATGTGCGGTAAAACGTAAACGATTTGTACGTCCAACATGCTTTTGCGTCAACACACTTGATCGATGGATATAAGCCAATAATACAACATGGTCTGAATAGTGTAAATATAAATGGCTCAATATCCAGACGTGTTATTATTAGTGTATTTATGTCTATGTGGCCATTCACGCCAGTGCAACTTACGCTGGTTCGAGAGGAAAGCAAATGCGAACGTGTTACGTTGGCGTAAAATGGACAAAACTATGGTCACGGTAAAGTTTAGATTCACTTGGAATCGGTATCGGTACTGACGTAAATATCTCGTAATACATACGTCAGTGTAACACATTACATCGGAGTATAGAGCTCAAATATTAAAGGCAGCACCTACGATTATTCGCAACGGCTATTGTAAGTGTATTAGCGTCTTAAACTGAGTGCCTAGGTGAACTGAATGTACGTTCAGACTATGTCATAGTATAATAGTATACTCGCATTATGTCGAATTTGCGGGCAGTCTACCGCCCAAAGTAGATATAAATTTGGGGGTCAACGACTAAACACGAAGCCAGTGGTATACTGTGTAATTTACCACAGCTTGCATAATAATAAACACGCTCTCGTCTAATAAGAACGACTAATTTAGGCAATTAAATTGCTGGTATAATGACATATTTACGTCCCTCCAAACTGTAACCAGCAGCTGGTGTAGACTAGAACAAAATAATTTCGCCATACAAACTAGTCTCAGAAAGCGGTAGCTTTAAGTTTATCTCTGATAACTTTCAATGTAATTATTGTGTTCTATGTAATGTATATATTGTAGCGATGAATATTGAGATAGACAGTTAATAGCATATACATGTATTACCTGTAATAAAAAATGAATCCAAATCCCCCGGCGACTGCCACACTACACAATACACCAAACACTCCGAGGATTATTGTCACTACAATGGGAAATACATGAATGTTATTCTTACATTTCGTTACACGCTCATGTGTTTATTTATTATTAAAATATGATCACACTAAAAATAAAGCAGCACTCTTAAAGCGTTCGTACACTTATATTGGGGTCATTGGACTATTAATATGTGAAACATTGTGGGAGGGGGATTCGCCAGGATTCTGCCCTGTTTTATGAAATCACGACCAACGAAACACATTTTAAATTCGAAGTTAAATTCACAGAACACAGAATCGAATAGCTAGCCGAAACGATCGCCACTGACGCGTTATTGAACTTTTATTATATTTCCCACAATTTACTCAAATTTCGAAAGTCAGTTGTTTCACATCATTGTCCCAAGACGCTAAAAGTCTATAAATGAGTGCATTGAACAACCGAATAATAACTATATATAGGCAGAAATGTACCACTAAATTAATTACAATGATGTATTTCGCGACTTTTTATATGTGTAGAATGTCTTATTGTAGAATGTAACATCCGAACGACTTACTGGTATTGTCGGGACAGAATTCATCATGCCAGCCACATGGAGGATGATCTCTCGGTGGATACGTCTTGTTCCCCGGCCACATAAATCGTATTTCAGGATGTGGGTGGTAGCTATTATTGAGTGTGTGAAACTCTGAGATCTTCTCGAAATGGTCGTCTATAAACACTTGTAAACTATAGTTTGGATCACAGTCCCCGTATTCATCGACAATCATCTTCCCCGATATCCCTGTGTAACAACGTATATGATAGTACATAAGTAACTGCGAGATTACAGCGTGTAAAATAGATCAGTTGTTAACAAGCGCGCTGACGATAAGATAATGTTTGGGACACCGTTTCTTCGCTGTGAACCACCAGGAAGCGTAATACCATGATACCTGGAGTCTGTTGGAAAATTATTTCAACGCCACGACAGTTATTTTTAATTTGTGTTCACTCATTTATTTGTTCGAATCGTATTGGTTTTGGTTGTGTAGATTGTGTATATCTTTAACGTAAGGAGTGTACTGGGGAGTTTACATGCCACAGGAAATTAATGTTGTCGAAATCATATACTTTGTTTTAAATGATCACCAGTTAAACGTAAACACCAATACACTGTATGTATTTGGTTTTTATCAGTTTTAACAAAATGTTACGCAAAGACATTCTGAAAATTTCATAATTAAAATCCGAAGCATTGTGCAAAAATAAGATTAATAAATCACCATGCATCATCAATTGCGCAAACTGAAAACACGAAAATGAAGATCACTGTAAAATGCTGTTATGTTCAGTAAATTCAACCAAGATACCATGTTGATGGAAGTATTTGTGCCAAGGCGATTGTTTCGGTTAAAATACAAAATACAATCTTCATGCTTGTGGTGTTTTACTGGTAAGAAAGGAACCAAACATTTGAAACACAACTCATAAGAGACATAATACCGTGAAATGTCATGGGCATCATTCTGGATGCAATAGATGTACCATTACGTTCATCACCACCATTCTGTAGCTCTTCGGTCAACGCGAGTGCGTAGAGCAGTACTGCATCATGTAAACGCCCTGCATGACCATCTACCTACAACACAAATTATAACATTGTTAGTCTAAATCTAGCCATCTGATTGGCTGAAGCAGGGTCTTATATCGGGCACTGGAAGCCCTGTGTACTTGCCCTGAAACTGAATAAACTGGTTCAAATATCTTACTGAATCGAGAACTGTGAACACTGTTAACTATGATTGCGGGTATGGGCTCAAAATATCAGAACAGGGAAACCTGGTACAATTTAATACGAATTATTATTGCCAAAAATGTCAATATATGCGCATTTTGCGAGAAAAATCCCATGGGGCAACGTGCGCTTCAATTCAGCACAGCGTTCGAATCGAAAATGTGACGTCATCGACGCGTCCGTCTTGCCACTCGCCAGACCATTCGTCTGTTTGGTACATCAAGGTAAATGCAAAGAATCCCAACTAAAATCTGGGACTTTAATATGCTCAGTTATCACCTCCCGGCTATTTTTCCCAGAAAGTTCTTATATCGGTTATCAAATACACAGTCACCTTAGGGCTGGAAATGAATAAATACTATTTAAAAAAAAGTTATCCGCTTTACGCATAAAAATGAATCCTCTATACGCGTATAAGTGCGCAGACTCATTTTCAGCCAATCAGGCGTGTCGTAACAGCGAGTATTTCCTTGATTTACCCAGAACTCTGTGCGAATCCCCCTTGATTCTGGCTGCTGAC